CCAATTTGTACCTCTATTCCTCTCATGCGAAAAAGATCTTACCAAAGGAGAGTGTACTGCATATCGTGTAAAGGGTTATGGGGAGAATAGTAGGGTCATCTGTTTGATTTCCCACGGAATAAACGTTTTTCTAACATTCATTAGTGTTCTGACGACATTCCATTAAAAAATAAAAACTTTCCTTCATCTGTTGTCTTGGTAGAATTCCCACAGAGCGATCTCTGCCAGGTTAATCAAGGCCATCTGATTAATGAGGACGGGGGGGGAAGCCGGTAAGGGGGGAGCCGGGGAGGGGGGAGCCGGGAAGGGGAAGAAGAGATTTTTAAAACTGTCAGGTTTCTCTTCAGATATGATGTAGCCGTCTGCTCACCTCTGACGCTTTCAAGTCGCTAATGTTTTGCTTTTCAATCAGATTTTGAGACTCCAAAAAGATTTATCTTGATTATCTTTCCCGGCATTCTGAAGAGAGAAATAAGATGGCGACTGACTCTTCCTCGCTCGATACATCAACATGCAATTTGGTATCTACTGCCTTGAGCTGAAATTGAGATTAGTTAGGGGAAAAACGTGTGTACACTACGTAATCTTGTTGAGTTTAAGACTTTTTGCCCTCTGGAGATCTAGACGGAAATACTTCAAGAATGCACTTCATTAGGCGGGACATCCTTCTTGATACCAGGTGAGGGTTAAAGGCTCCTCTCCCGCCCCCCACCCCCCGCTCACCTTCCTGCCTTTTAATTAATGGTAGATAAAGCATTTTAGCATAGGCCTCCATCTGAACTAACACACTTTGCGCCCCGCATTAAATACCGGTTAACTTTGTGTCTGTGACGTCCAGTTCGAGCAAATCGTATTCCATTACAGCACGTCCGAGTGTCAATTGTTATTAAAATTTCGGCTTAAATCGTGCGCTTGATTCACTCCATTCACAAAGACGCGGTAAACCCTAACTCCCAAAATGTTTGTGCACGTTTACAAGGCAATATTTCTTGTTTTTGTTTTGTCGGTCCTGTGCGAAGTACCCGTTGGTAAAGCGGCCCCTTCACAGATACAGGCTGACTACAACTGCCCCGTTTGTAAACTTTTGAAAAAGATTTTGCAGCAAAACAAATTTATTATGGAAAAGATCGATTTGCTTCTTGAAGAGGGTGACAACTGTTCACGAGGTAGGGATCGGACTTTCTAGCCAGTATTCTGCACCATGGAGCTGGCTTGGTGATTTTTCGTCATAACCCTTCTTTACAAGTTTGAGTCATTTTCTGATCGTAGTCCACCGTTACTGAATTTCTTCCAAACTAACCAAATCATAATTTGCACCACGAATCGGTATAAGATAGCTAGCTTAAGTAAGATTCTTTACTTATTTTTTTAAAGCGGCGAGAGACTGTGCTGATATCTACGACTGCGGTCATAAATCCAGCGGTGTGCACACGATCCACCCACACGGTCAAAAGCCCTTTGTTGTTTTCTGTGACCAAACCACTAATGGCGGAGGCTGGACAGTGTTTCAGAAGAGATTGGACGGCTCAGTTGATTTCTACCGCGGCTGGAATGACTATAAAGTGGGGTTTGGGAACCTGAAGGGCGAGTATTGGCTGGGGCTTGATAAGTTGCACGGTCTTACTATTAACAACCAGAAGCGCTACAAACTTCGCGTGGATTTGGAGGATACCTCAGGCAATACAGTTTATGCATCGTATGATTACTTTGCTGTGTCAAGTGGAAAGTCCAATTATCACCTCAGTCTTGGAACATACCATGGTAACTTGTGACCTACTGTCATTCAGTAAAAATATATTTTTTTATTAACCATGATTTTAAGCTCAAGCAGGGCGTTTTTTCTGAACATAACCTTCAAAAAAGCGTGAGCAATTCGGAGATGCACGATTGAAGAGTGAAGCACTGGCGATTTCTTAAAACTCTAAACAGTTTTTCTGGGTAAGTTAGATGTGGACCAATGTTGTCGATGCACACTACTCACGAGTATTTTTGTCTTAAACAGGGTCGGGGTTTCAGTATACACAAACCTCTTAAGGGGGGGAGGGGCGGTAACAAGATATCTTCCGTTCTCTCTATTGCTGTAAGGACTTGAGCTTAATAATCCTCACTCGCTGGTGAGCTATGAGCTATCGATCAAACAGAACTCAGGTCCAGAATCGGTTTCCAATTGTAGGAACTGCCGGTGATTCGCTCTCCGGGCACAAAAGTATGTCGTTCTCCACAAAGGATCGGGACAATGATGTTTATAGCGGTAATTGTGCTGCTAATTTCCATGGCGCTTGGTGGTACGGCAGCTGTCACTCTTCCAATTTGAACGGTGCTTATCTTCATGGAGCCCATTCCTCTTACGCTAACGGGGTAAACTGGTACGCCTGGAAGGGGTACCATTACTCGGCGAAAAGGGCTGAGATGAAAATTCGGCCCAATAATTGGACCCCGTCGTAAACGCTGGATACACAAGCACTTTTTTTCTGGTACGTTTTTGTATTTATGAAAAATTACGGAAACTTGTTTACTTGATTATATCGATTATGAGAGGTGTCTAACGTTTTAACGAACGATGCATTTGTGGGTGCGTAATCTTTCTTCGCCATTTTCTTTGCCATAGAAGCAATTGTTTAAAATTCTAATTTCGCACATGGTAGATTATATGGCTTGTTTTAACCTAGTTAGAGAAGGAGGATGAGTTTAGGAGACATGCTCTTATCAGGAAAATAAACCAACCACTACTTTTTACACTTTTTCCGGTTTCACATTCCTTTCCTTTGCAGGTACTCAGATGTTTGTTGTTCAAGTAGTCCGTTGTTCAATTTAGGAAACAATATGTTTCAATCAGTCAATAGCCCAGGCGATCAAATGGAACCATGCGAACAGCTCTTTGGAAATATCGTCTCTTTAGTCAAACTGCAGTGCTGTTGTTTTGCGGTTTTTGTCATGGCACGATATGGTGACATGACTCTTTTGAGCTTTATGAGCAAGTAGGTGAACTTTGTCTTTGTCAGTACGAAAATATTGTAATTATGCCAGAAAATAAAGTCGCTTGATACTACCATCTTTATTCGTTTGCTTTCTTTGTGTGTGTAGAATTACACTGAAGAATTGGCAAGGGTGCGGCTAAGAAGGAAGAGAGGAGAGGAGAGGGTAATGGGTGGCTCTGCTTATCAAGAAAAAGTGATCTGATGGTTGCCATGCCTCAAATGTCGGTTAGAATTGAGTGTAGTACCCGTCTCTACTTACCTGCTAGCCGTTCTCCCTCCCCCGCCCCCGATCGGTCAGGATAAATTGTCACTTCTTTTTGTGTTTTGACATTTTGTTGTTTCGCCCATATCGGTTCGTCAGCAGGATGGGAAATAAGTCAGAGGAAACTCGACTTGCAATGTGTCATAATACATCTAAAGCTTGAATTCGAAATTTGAAATGTTTTCCTTTCAATCAGAATGCTTTACTCAACAAAACTTAGAAATCGCGGTGGTAGTTACGAAAAACAACAAGTCTGACTTTCGCTCTAAATCGAATCAAAATCATAGTCATCTTAGTTCGACGTAAATCTCGAAAATATTCTGTTAACAGTAACCTTGGCTAGGTGAGAAAAACGTGATTTGTGTGCGTGTCCTTGACTTGTCGAGTCAGCATGAGATTGGATGCTTCTTTAGAACAAAAAATGAAGCTGTTCGTAACTAACGAAGTACATATCAGGTAGAGGTTGTTCTCCCTTTGGTTATTCATTATCAACAATTCATATCCCCGAGACTTAAGCGTGCACTTCATTTTCTTTGCCGAGATCCAGGAATTAAAAGCGGTACATCTGAGGAAGAGGTGGAAAGAAGCAGTTAAGGTTGTATGTCCCCCACCCGCAATGTGCTTGAGAAAAAGCGATAGCTTCTCAAATCAAACTACCATCTGTACCTCTAATGCAGTTGTTTTCCTGCCCGGAAAGGCATCCTACTTTGGAGTTTTCCATTGCATTCATCTACTAGTTTTCAGGACATGTAGTGTGGGAGCGAAGCTAAAGGCTACTCTCATCCCGTCTATGTGCTTCTTCGTTGTGCAAACGGATGTTAGCAGGGCCATTTGTATGCATAAATGACTGATGTTCTTATTTGGTGTTCTGCTTCTTATCTTTTTTGAGTGTATATCTAGAAGTTTAAAAGATAAATGAATATAATTCATTTATAATCTTGACCCAGTATTCCCTATTTTTGAGCAGTTGCAACGTTCAACATTCGATATTCATTGTTCTACATTTGGCTCTTTGTTCTCTGAAATGTGGTGGCGTGGTTAATCCGCGATTGTTCTTGTTTGGATTCTACTCTTCCTCAGCGATGTGCCGACCGCGTGTGGAAAGGCTCTATCACGGAAGACAACCAACCAAAGCTGTTCCATATGTTAGCTTCTAAACGTACTAGTTTACAATTAGACCAATCTGCACGCGAAACTGGATGTTATTTCGCGACCAAACAAGAAACTCGAAGCAAAGATGAATCAGTTTGCTTCTCAAGGAAGAAACAGTTGTTCGTAAGGTAAGAGGCTTTCACGCGAATGTAGCAGACATTGATTGTGGCAAGTGATTTGCTTGTTGTAAATGAAGCACTGAAATAAATGGATAAGAATATAAGAACTCAAATTATGAACATGTATGTTCTAGATCCGCCACTGTATAACGACGAATATGTAATGTTTTCCTTTAAATAATCTCTAAAACCCATGATCTGGGTATTTCTGTAACAAATTTGCTTATTTCACCTAACAGTGAGAAAGTACATTTCTGCTTTGATGGTAACATTCTGTTATATTTAATTTTTTTTCTATTTTATCCCCATATAGCTTTAAGGCCATTTGCTGTGGGTGGTAAAGAAAGTTGCTGATCAGGAAAACCTGAAAAATGGTGGATATAGGATTGGTAAGAGGACTGAATCCTTTAACCCTTTCACGAGAAATTCTCCTTACTCTCTGCCATATAATGATCATAATGTCAGTTGGGAGAATTTGGTACTAAGATCAACTGATAATTCCCAATCAATTTTTTTCTCTATTCTCATCAATTTTCTGCTTGATATTGTATTAAATATCGTACGGAGAAATTCTGTCTTAGTCACTCATCGGAGTGAAAGGGTTAATTGTAATATACCGCACCCTGAATCTCTCTTTTCTGTTACCTTTTATCAGTGGATTCTCCAGAGCAAACGGCCAAGTCTAAGAACTGAGATGTTTGTATAATCCTTTACTTGCTTAGTTTTTTCGTTTAGTGATAAACAATGGACGTGATGAGGCTCAGTCAGTGTACATCTTCACATTCACGTTATTGGTGGACAAATGTCCCGGCCGCCCGGCTCAGTGATTGAAGCGTTAAATTAGCCATTTCCAAATTACCTTTGGCCTCTTTTTTCACTCTCATTGTTTCCCCTGTATCCATCGAAGGGTTAGCCAAGCCCAAGTCAGAGTGGCATGAGTCAAAGAAGAAAGAAGACCTCTTAAGATCCCTTTTCTCAATTTTATCGCGTTTTTCTTGATTTTTTCATGCATCTCTAGTATGGAAAAACGGAGAGCTAGTTAGACCTCGTTGGTGAAGTTTGAATCATTTCAATCGTTTTAACGGGAGCAGCCTGCTAAATCATACAAGGAGTGCATTTGTGTCGCAAATGAATTACTTCTGGATGCCTTATCATTGTTATTATTCAGGGTTAACATGAAATTCTCTTGATTTAAGAGGGATGCCTGCTTACTTCTACCCCCTACGTTAGGCAGCAACTGAAAGAGGCATCCGGGAAATTCAAATCCATGCAGAAAATCTCGAAATAAAACCGTGCACTGATTGCCGGTGGAGGTTCCTCTAGAGGTGTATATTTGCTAATAAGGATTATCATTCTGTAACTGACCCTTTGTTGGTCACCTTTTATTTTCCCTCACTACGCGATGATTTCACTCGGGGTAGCAGGTATCTTTTCAGCAAACCCTTTGAGAAATGCTGATCTTTCTTACTTAATCAAAAAGTAGCGAGAGCTTTTGAGGATATTTCGAACTTCCCACGCAGAAAAATGTCTCGTGTTGCCTGGCTAGAATATTATGCTGAGGCCGCATTCAGTGTTTCCAGCTGCGCTGTAGGGTTAGGGTTGATCAAGTGCAGGGAAGGTTGACGTCCGAGCTGTCTTCTTTGATAGATTGCATGATGCGACGTACACTCTTCTTTGTTAAGATCTTTCTCAGATGAGAAAAATGGAGGCTTAAATTGGCGAAAGTGTAATTGACCTTTAAAAATTTCAATAAATCTTGTCTTTATTTCTTTCAACGGATCAGGGAATAAGAATAACTCTATTCCTAGACTTATAAGTGTTATATCGGTAGTTTGGATTTTAAATCAGTTCTGAAATTAGGAGATGTATAAAGGAATATTTTAAACTAAAGCTGGCCAAAAATTAGACAATTCAGCCAAGGAATCAAATACAGAAAAAAATTTTTTCTTGAGTGCACCCAAGCAACTACCGTTGCATTAGGCCTGAAAAGAGCTATATTAATTTAGATTCTTACCTTTTACTCCCAGATTTACTAGGATACAAGCTGTTCACTTTCGCACATCTCAATTAGCTTTATCACTAATCCTGTTAGTGACGATAAACATTTATTTAATTTCACAAACAAAATTTCAGGCTTTCAAGCTGTGAAGTCAACATCGTCAAGTCAACATCGTCAAGTTAACATCATCTTTTGGGGTTGCATAAACAGCGTTTCTTGACAAAGAGACTTAACGCAATAGTAAAAAAAAAGGAGCCATGATAACGTTCACAAGATGGCTAAAAGAGCTGTTACTGACTGCAAACTTGGTGTCCCACGTTTTTTAATTTAATATTTAGAAGAGAAAGCACCCAGCATTTGCACTGCTGTCTCTTTAATGTGCATTCTAAAGCGTCAACAGTACATTTTCATCATAATAAAGAACTACTATAGCTCGTGATAAAGTTCAGGCCTAACATTGTACCAGACAGTATTGAAAGAGAACAAGTTCATGAAAAGCGGGAGCTTCTAAATCCAAAAATATTGCACTGCAAAGGGTTATAGCGAAAATGGTAGGGTCATCTGTGTGCTTTCCCACGGAATAAATGTTTTTCTAAATACATTAATGTTATGACGACATTCCATTAAAAAAAAGTTTCCTTCATCTGTTGTCTCGGTAGAATTCCCATAGAGCGATCTAAAAAAAATGTATTTTATTAGGTGGAACGTCCTTCTGGAATCAGAGGAGGGTTAAGGCTACCCCCCCCAACATCCCCCGCTCACACATGGCCCTCTGTAAACCCACCCATCCCACCCAGGGGAGAACATCCATCACACAGTAATCTCTTGTGTGGGAAATTAACGTCTCCTACCCCAACCCTGCAGGAGACGGGACCTCCATTTATTCGTCCCTATCCGAGAAGACTAGAATATCTAACCATTTCTTGATGTTATAGAAAGGCAGCAAATTCTTATCAATTATTTTAAGACCCTGAGTGTTGGTCCGGCCGGGGCTCGAGAACCCTCGACCTCCCGCACAACAGTCCAGCGCTCTATCCATTCAGCTAACCGGGATAACCAAATAATAATTTGCATCTGAAATTGGTATTAGATAGCTTGCTTTAAATAGATTCTTTCATTATTTTTTCAAAGCAGCAAGAGACTGCGCTGATATCTACGATTGCGGTCATAAATCCAGCGGTGTGTACACCATCCATCCACACCATCAAAAGCCCTTTATTGTTTTCTGTGACCAAACCACTGATGGCGGAGGCTGGACAGTGTTTCAGAAGAGACTGGACGGCTCAGTTGATTTCTACCGCAGCTGGAATGACTATAAAGTGGGGTTTGGGAAACTGAACGGCGAGTATTGGCTGGGACTTGATAAGTTACACGGTCTGACCATTAACAACCAGAAGCGATACAAAATTCGCGTGGATTTGGAGGATACTTCAGGCATTACAGTTTATGCTTCGTATGATTATTTTGCTGTATTAAGTGAAAAGTCCAATTATCAACTCAGTCTTGGAACATACCACGGTAACTTGTGACCTACTGTCATTTACTGCAAATACATATTTGCATTCGTTATTTTACCCAAAAGGGTGTGATAACCTGAATATTCAGTACACAAGGTATATCACTGTTAAGTGCCTTGGGCGCGTGGGCAGAGTGTTTTTCTGCACCAAAACCTTCAAAAAAGAGTGAGGAATTCGGAGATGCACGATTTAAAAGTGAGGCACTGGCGATTTCTTACAATTGTAAACAGTTTGTCTGGGTAAGTTAGTTCTCACGTGGTTTTTGTCTTAAACGGAGTCATGGTTTCAGTAAACACAAATCTTCTTAAGAGAGAAGGGGGCCGTATCAAAATATTTTCCGTCCTCTCTCTTGTCATGAGGAGTCGAGCTTAATGATCCTACGAGCCGGTGAACTATCGATCGAACAGAACTCAGGTCCAGAATCTTTTTCCAACTGTAGGATCTGCTGGTGATTCGTTGTCCGGGCACAAAAGTATGTCGTTCTCCACAAAGGATCGCGACAATGATGTTCACAGCGGTAACTGTGCTGTTCAGTATCATGGCGCTTGGTGGTACGGGAAATGACTCTTCCAATTTGAATGGTGCTTATCTTCATTGAGCCCATTTTTCCTACGCTAACGGGGTAAACTGGCGCACCTGGAAGGGGTACCATTACTCGGCGAAAAGGGCTGAGATGAAAATTCGGCCCAATAATTGGACCCCGTCGTAAACACTGGATACACAAGCACTTTTTTCCTGGTACGTTTATGTATTTATGTAAAATTAAAGAATTGTGATAGGTGTCTAACACAATCTGGCGATTGTGATAGGTGTCTAACGTTTTAACGAACGATGCATTTGTGGGTGCGTAATCATTCTTCGCCATTTTCTTTGCCATAGAAGCAATTGTTTAAAATTCTAATTTGGCACATGGGAGATTATATGGCTTGTTTTAACCTAGTTAGAGAAGGACGATGAGTTTAGGAGACAAGTTCCTATCAGGAAAATAAACCAACCACTACTTTTTACACTTTTTTCGGTTTCACATTCCCTTCCTTTGCAGGTCCTCAGATGTTTGTTGTTCAAGTAGTTCGTTGTTCAATTTAGGAAACAATATGTTTCAATCAGTCAATATCCCAGGCGATCAAATGGAACCAAACAGCTCTTTGGAATTGTCGTCTCTTTAGTCAAACTGCAGTGCTGTTGTTTTGCAGTTTCTCTCATGGCTCGATATGGTGACACGACTCTTTAAAGCTACATGAGCAAGTAGGTGAACTTTGTGTGATTAGTACGAAGATATTGTAATTATACCAGAAAATAAGGTTGGTTGATACCACCATCTTTACTCGTTTGTTTTTTAGAATTTGTAGAATTTCACCGAAGAATTGGCAAGGGCGCAGCTAAGAAGGAAGAGAGGGGAGGAGAGGGTAATGGGTGGCTCTGCTTATCAAGAAAAAGTGATCTGATGGTTGCCATGCCTCAAATGTCGGTTAGAGTCGAGTATAGTACCCATCTCTACTTACCAGCTAGCCGTTCTCCCTCCCCCGCCCCCGATCGGTCAGGATAAATCGTCACTTCTTTTTGTGTTTTGAGATTTTATTGTTTCCCCCATATGTTTGTCATCGGAATGCGAAATAAGTCAGAGGAAACTCGACTTGCAATGTGTCACAATATATCTAAAGCTTGAATTCGAAATCTGAAATGTTGTCCTTCCACTCAAAATGCTTGACTCAACAAAAATTAGAAATCGCGGCGGTAGTTACGAAAGACAACAAAACTGACTTTCGCTCTAAGTCGAATCAAAATCATAGTAATCTTAGTTCGACGTCGATCTCGAAAATATTCTGTTAACAGTAACCTAGGTTATGTGAGAAAAACGTAATCTGTGTGCGTGTCCTTGACTTTTTGAATCAGCTTGATATTGGATGCTTCTTTAGAGCCAAAAATGTAGCTGTTCGTAACTAACCAGGTACATATTGTAGAGGTTGTGCTCCCTCTGGTAATTCATTATTAACGATTTATATCCCCGAATCTTACGCATGCATCAATTTTCTTTTCCGAGATCCAAGAACTAAAAGTGGTACGTATGAGGAAGAGGTGGGAAGAAGCAGTTAAGGTGGCCGAACACAGTTTTCGCGCGCACTTCTACTGATGCAATTGAACCCGCGCACAAGGATTGCAAAAACCAAACATGCCGTCAATAAAGCGGTCATTTCATTTACTCAACACGTACCCGCACTATCTGTGCTATTTTTCTCTATAGTTGACGCAATGTATTGATGGCTTTAATCTTTTATTACAAAGATATGTTAGAAAAGGTAACGTATAACGGCGCAAGGAACCAAGCAATTCTCACCTTTTTCGTTGTTACTGAAAGAACCCAATTGAATGCAACGCATGCGTAGTTAGTCAAAAAATTGCGATTGAATGGAAAATTGCTTCTCGGAAATATGCCTATTTCTTGAGAATCACTCATCAGAATTTCACGAAATTTCGCACGAAAATACTTGAGGAAATAAGTAGCTGGAGTATTGAAAAAATATTGAACTTTAAAGAAGGAAATTTTAGATATTCCAGTGAACCTTCAACAAGGGATAATTAAAGATCTCTCTGTTAAATTATTAGCAAAATGTTGTTAAATTGTGAGTATAGTTACAACCTCGTTGCATGCAAATAATAAAGAAATCTAATGACTGGACTTTCCACAAATAAACAAAACCGCTTTTAAAGGCCTGTTTATATTTATTGATGTTGCCAAGGCAATGGCAATACGTCAGCTTAACTACTGATCAAAAAACCAAAGTTTGTGTTGTTCACTTGCTTGCTGCCATTTTTGGCGACCGAGGGATCTAAGGTTTTAGAGAAAAAGGTGAATGAAACACAGGTATCAAGAACTGTGTTCTGCTACCTTCAAGTTGTATGTCACCCCAAATGTGCTTGAGAAAAAGTGATACCTTCTCATATCAAACTACCATCTATACCCCTAGTGCAGTTTTTTTCCCGCCCGGAAAAAAATTCTGCCTTCGAATTTTCCATTGTATTCATCTACTAATTTTCAGGACATATAGTGGGAGCAAAACTAAACTCTACTCTCATCCCGTCTATATGTTTCTTTGTGGTGCGAACGGATATTAGCGGGGTCATCTGTATTCCTAAATGACCGATGTTCTCGTTTGGTATTCTGCTTCTTATCTTTTTTGAGTGTACGGTAGAGGTTCAAATGCTAAATGATTAGAATTCATTTATAATTTTGACCCAATATTCCCTATTTTTGGAGCAGTTGTAACGGTCAACTTTCAATATTCATTGTTCCACATTTGGTTCGTTGTTCCTTGAAATGTGGTAGCCTTGTTTCTCCATGATCGTTTTTTTATTTGGTTTTCAGCTGAGGAGGAGGTAGAGAGAAGCAGTTAAGGTTGTATTTGACCCCCTATATACTTAAGAAAAAGTAAAAGCTTCTCCAGCATATCAAACTAGCATCCATGCCCCTCAATGCCATTGTTTCCCCACCCGGAAAACTCCTGCTTTAGTGAGACCCCAATAAGCCGGAACGATCATTTACCTCTTTCTCTATTTTGAGTGTGCCAGTAGTTTTCAGGATCATATAGCTAGTGGGTACAAAGCTAAACTCTACTCTCATCCGGTCTGAATGGTTCTTTGTGGTGCAAACGGATATTAACAAGGTCATGTTTATATCTAAATGATTGATGTCCTGTTAAAGTATTCTGCTTCATATCGTTTTGAGAGCATATCTAGGGGTTAAAATGCTAAATGGTTAAGATTCCTTTCTAATTTTGACCCAACATTCCCTATTTTTGGAGCAGTTTTAAGTCAACATTCAATATTAATCGTTGCACATTTGCTTCTGATCGTTGTTTTCTGAAATGTGGTGGCGTTGTTGCTCTGCGTTTGTTCCTTTTTGGATTCTACTCTTTCTTAGCGATGTGCCAACCGTTTGTGGAAAGGCTTTATCACGGAAGACAACCAACCAAAGCTGTTCCATGTGTCAACTTCTAAACATATTGGTGTACAATCAGACCAATCTGGACGCGAAACTGGATAGTATTTCGCGCCAGAACAAGAAACTTGAAGCAAAGATTAATTTGCTTCTCAAAGGGAGAAACAATTGTTCACAAGGTAAGAGGCTTTCGCACGACTGTAGCAGACATAAATTGTAGCGAGTGATTTGCTCGTAGGGAATGAACCACTGAAATATCAATGGATAACAACTCAAATTATGAACATGTAAGGATCTGTTATTGCTTCTTGGAAGACAGGTTGTTCCATATCCAGACTCTCAGATTTCTAAGAAACTTAGAATGTTTCTTACAATTAAGACTGCGCAGACCTCCCATTTGATTTTTGGTCTCATTGCAACCTTCTATTGACAACAGAAGGCTCTGTTGCGTCACAAGCGAGCTTTTCGGCCAAAAAGTTTTCAACATGCATTGAGTTTGTATCAAATACAATCACATTTTGATGTAAACATCTGCTGCAAGTAGAAAATTGGGGTACATAAC